AATATATATATATATATATATATATATATATATATATAGGAATATATATATATGTGACGATATATATATATATATATATATATAATGGCCAAGATGGGTGTTGGCTGTCGTTTCCCCGTCCCGACATCCACGCCGGGTGTCCCAACCCTTCTTCGGTCACCATCAACTGGTGTGTCCCTATATATATATATATATATATATATATATATATATATATATATAGAGAGAGAGAGAGAGAGAGAGAGAGGCATGTTGTCCTTCGCAAAAAAATCGTCGATTGTTCGGCACAACAGGTTCGCTCACACCCACACACACATCGACGATTGCGCTATCTCCACGGACATGGCGGCGGTGCACCATGAACATCCACATGATGGGCCACATGTCCAATCAAGCTAGCCATGACCCTCGCTCCTAGGTCGGAGCCGAAAGTAGGATCAATCTCCGACACGGCTTCGATGTTCAGATCAGGAATGTGACGTGGCAATCGCCGGTGGCGGCGACGACGTCGACGGGGGTTGCGTGCCGGCCCGTCACCCTCACTGTCGCTACTGTGGTTCAACAGGTCCGGGTCGATCTCCACCCTGTGCTCAATCATGAGGTTGTGTAGTATGCACACAACCAATTATTCCTTGCGCAGCGTCTCCAAGTTCGCAATGTGAGTGCGGATGAAGTTCCTCCATACGGTCTCCAAACGTTCGAATGTCCGCTCTATACAAGATCTCACCGCTGAGTGACATTCATCGTAAGTCCGATCTGCATCAGTTCTGGCGAATCTTCCCATAGGTGTCATGATCCACGGGAGAAGGGGGTAACCGGCATCTCCAAGCAGGTAACGACCCACGTGTGTCCCATTGTGATAGCTCCACCCTCGCATAACACACCTTTGCCTGCCATGGTGTTGTGGTACAGTGGCGACATCCGCAACACACGAGAGTCGTGCACGGACTCAGGGCAACCGGCATACACACTGACAATTCTGCACTCGTTGTCACACACAACCTAGGAGGCGACCGAGAAGTCTCCAGTGTGATGATAATAGCACTCTGACCGTGTCCCCTTCGGCTTGTCAATATACATGTGTGTGCAGTCGATGGCCCCCACACATCCGGGAAAACCCTTCGCCTCGAAAGCATTCTGGGCTTCTTCCAAACGCCTTCCTGTAGGGAATTGGAGGCGGTGGTCGTACTCGTGGAGGATAGCATATGCGACGTCCTCGTTGCTTCTCAACACACTCGCAAGGCCCATACCTAAACTATGGGACGATTGCCGGTAGTACCCGCCCGTCGCCCATCGGATCAGTGCGCAAGCGAACTTTTGTCCGGCCGGTAGAAGCAACCGAAAATTAGTAGGCGAACGCTGGATATGGGGGGTGATGCACTGGAGAACTTGCAAAAACAGTGGTCGCGGTAATCTGCAGAACCGCACGAACACCTTATCGTGCTCCCCACCCACCTTTTGCAGGTCCTTCCACAAACCTCCACTACGCTCCAACATCCACAGACGCCTTCTCTGAAACCTCAGGTGTCTTCCCAACTCCTGCGCTGCCAACCAGCTCAACGCCATTCCGTGAACCACCCCCCTTGCAAGCATCGTCAGCGCCCCCGATATATCCCGAAACATGAACGGGGTGATGGCGACTGCTTCAAGAATGGTCATGGCCGCAGCGTTGCGCCTATTCACCCACTGGGTCATGAGGAGAATGAGCATGATCATCCTGTCCTCCCACTCCTCCTCCGCACTAGCCACATCCGATGGAGACATGGCCACAATGTCACTGTTATGGGAACAGCGTCGACCCTTGCACACCAGCTCTGGCGGCCGCTTGACGATCGCACCACCTTCCACAACCCCTATTCCTCGCCAACCCCTCCACCACAATTGCCAGCTATGGCTTCCCGTCAGTGCTCCGTGCATGCACTCCCACTCTGGAAGGACCGCGTCGGGGAACAGTGGTACCAACGGCAAGAGTGGGGCGGGCGAGTGTTGGGGGGCGATGGAGTGGGACACCCGCCGATATTCCCAACGGTCATTTCCGTGCACAGTCGCGCCCCGGCGGCGTGCGGACCATGCGAGGCCGTCGTGATGTGCACGGTACCTGTGCGGCGTGCGGCACACGTGGTCACGCATGGCCACACACGGACATGTCCTAGTGCATGCCGATAGAAGGGCCTGGACCACATCCCCGGGCCTACTTGCCTTTTCGGGAAACACCCTGGGCGGATTTCCTAATCGGGCATGGAAAAAAGTTTCCAGTCCCGAAAGTCCAGGGCTGCGGTGGGGTCCCAACAAAACGCTGAAACTTCTTTCCAAACACGGTCGGCCGTTTTTTATGGCCAAAACTTTTCCACGTCGCCGGCCAGTGGGGTCCAAGCCTTATCTTGTCCCAGTGACGTATCCACCAGTCCTAGATCCTTCTAGATGCTGGACAAGTCAGCCATAGGTGACGAGAGTCCTCCCAAATCCATTTGCAGCGAATGCAGCTCGAGGGGATTTTCATCCCTTTAGTAACTAAATATGATGCAGATGCTGTGGCCACCATGGACTGCAGCCATAAGATACTTGACAATCGTTGTGAAGGCAATTGCTTTAATTGCTTCCAAAGCGTTGTTAAATGATCTGCTGAGATTGGGAGTAAACCTTGATCTTGTTTGCGCTTGTTTGCCACTACCTCCGCTGGTTTCCTTACTTTCTGTCTCAGAATTTTGGTTCCCTTCTTGGTAGAGTACTCATCCAGCCCTATCACCCTTTGTGCCTGGTTTTGCCACCAACCCACAGTTCTGCAGTCTACCGGAGCTTCCCCTAGCGAAATCAGTCCCATTGGAAGAGTTACTTCAATACTTAACGTTCCTCCCGCCGGGGTTCTCTTCGTTCTTGTCCTTACAGCCACCTCGGTACAACCTTGCATGAAAGAAATACGTGAGCTCCCTTTCTTCACCAAGGCTTTGCTATATGAAAAATCTACCGGTTGTGCCCATTCCGTCACTGCCCATCCATCTTCACACAGGTTCTTTGTTATTTGTAGTACCAGGTCCTGATGTGACTGTGAGGTCACCCACAGATTCGACCCTGGGAGGCTAGTACCTCGCAACAGGCTGACCCAACTTTGAGGAATAGCCTTTTGAATCGCCGCCAACCTGCCCGTGATGTATCTGAGTCTCTCCAACTGTTTTCTAATCTTTGAGGGCTCCTTCCATTTGTTATATCTCAAGTCCCATATGTCTCTAACTCTCACTATCCCTTTTTCTTAGATGCGATTATCTCCAGCCCCTGTATTGTGGCTGCGATGTTTTCCATGATAGACCTGTGCTTCACGAACATCCCTTGCTCCTTCTGAATTAGGTCCGGAAGATATATCTAGCTAATGTTATTGCAAGTGCTTTTGTCAATACTTTATATGACACATTTAAAACTGAGATAGGACGCCAATTCCTTATCTCAGATTTTTTTCCTTTTTTGTATAATAGCGAAATGATTCCATTCATCATACCCTTTGTGAATTTCCCCCCTTCCAGGACTCCGTTAAAATATTTCACTAAATAGGGGCTGATCTGTGGCCATACCGCCAGATATACTTCGATAGGTTGCCCATCGTCCCCGGGACATTTCCCTTTAGCCATTTGTTTAGCTGCCTGCAATAGCTCATCCTCAATTATAGGTCTATCGAGGTCTAGACGCGCTTGAGAGGTCAGCTTAGATTGAGTGAGATTCCAAAAGGCAGAATTTTTCTTCATATCCGATGTCATACTGTCAAACGGGCGCCTCATGGTGAGAATATCATGAAAATACAGTCGTGCGTATTTACACATCTGATCAACATCTTCTGTCACTGTCTGCTGAACAGAGAATGGGTGCGCTAGTTGGTTCATTGGTGGTCCAACTTTTTGTAGTATGAGCCTACAAAATGTGTCCTTTGTCATACGATCCCCTGATATTATATTCCGCTGAGTCAGCCATTGGGTCCATTGCCCTTGCTTTTTTATTTTCATTTTTTCGAAGGCCTGGATTTTCCTTTTGCGCATTGTTGTCCAATAGGCATCTGAGACTGGGTGTTTACCCAGTTCAGCTTCCGCCTTTTGTATTTCTGCAATCAACGCCGTCTCCCTTCCTCTTTCTTTGATTGCTTTTATTCTGGAGATAGTGCTCAGAGTTCCTTGAAGAATTCTGAAGCCCACCTCCAGCCATTTGGTTTCTTCTTCAAACAGGGGACGAGCTTGTGATCATTGAACCAAATGATTTTTTATCCAGTCCACCACTCCCTCATCCTTCAAGTGGTTAGTGTTGAATTTAAAATAAGATGGTCCAAACTTTTTAGCCTGTGGGCGATTGAAATCCACTACCACTGGACGATGGTCCGAGATATAGGAGGAGCCTATTTCTGCTTTGGTACAGTTATTCCATGGACTACCTCTCAATAATTTCTGCTTTGTTTTTTTTTTTTGAAACAGGGATGCAAGGTTCTTCCGGGCAAGGTCCCACTTGCACGAAGTAAGAGATGCTGACCCTAGATAGCAAAGATCAATGGCGGAAATCTCCTAATTTGCACAAGTGGGACCTTGCCCCCGGTTGGAATCGATTGTCAATGATCGTTAGCCGTCGAGATGACGAATCTGCATAAATATTTTTTTTTTTTTTTTTTTTTTTTTTCAATGCAGAAATGTATTATATGCAGTGCCTCTAGTGCCAGCGGCGTATCTGGAGTGGAAGTTTTGGCTGTGACATTGGCCGACTTGTGATGGGGTGTGAGTCGACAGTCTCTAGAGCTTTCCATCTAGAGGGGGTCAACGATACTCTGCGTTGATTTTCGTCACATATACCTTGAGGGGAGTGGTTGGTGGTCCCCACTACCTCAGCGTATATATATATATATATATATATATACAAAGATGGCGGTGTCGAAAACATGCTCGCGCACTCACTAAATTTAATTCTCTTTTTACTTTTATTTATTTTTATTATTAGTATTGCTTTCCGTATTTTATTTTTATTTCACATTTGGTAAGGAATTCAGATATAATGCTCGGGCAAATCTTGTTTAATTTATTTTTCTCCATAACATATCTTTTTTTCAGTTTTTTTTTATGACTTTTTTTTTTCTTTTTCTTTTTTCTTTTTTTGGGTCCGCATTCGGCCCGAACGGCCGAACACATCCCCAAGGGGTCCCATACTTTCGGGCGTTCGGGTTCGGGCGTTCGGGTTCGGGCGTTCGGCCCGTCCCGAACGCCGGTT